AAAATTTATTATGGTTTATAATGGCAAATGATACTTTGAATATTACATGTTAATAACTTGATTGGAATTATAACCTTGAGTTGACAGTTTGATACTTTGAAAATTTTGAGCCAGCCCTACCCCCAAGGGCTGTAGGGTGGGGCTCAAGGGAGTCAGTGTGCTAAAATTTCTTCATTTTCCTTGTTTAGAATCAGAGGTGCTAGTTTCAAATTCTTTTTAGTCTGAAATCTGTATGCTTGATATTGAATAAGGTGGTTTTATTGTTTTTTTGTCACTTTGAATAATATTTCTGTTCATGTTAAAAATGAAATCAACTCTCTGTATAAATATATCAGGTAACCGTTAAGGCCCATGGGCCTCTTGTTAAGAATTACAATTTTTTGGCATTTTGCATACATGTATATAGTTATGCAATTCTTATACACAAATAACATGACACTATGAGGTTTCATTAATTAATGTACAAGATTCCTGTTTAGGATTTCCAACATGGGACTGTGTAATAATGCCCGTAAGGAAAATGAAGAGCAAAGAAGGTAAAAGATCATCTTTTGTAGATCTGATAAAGATCCTTTGATGGTGGGTGCCAATTAGATCTTTCTAGGATCTCTTGTCGTCAAAGTGGGAGTGGGGGCATCTGTATGTTTTACAAATATTATCAAGTGTGTGAAGTTATCTACTCCAAAAATACCTAGTTAACTCGTTCATCCCTGGAGACACATTTGAACTCTTCCAATTCAAAGGTTGGAATAATCCATTATGAAATTTCAGGGGTGAACGAGTTAAATTTCAGTAAAAAATGCCCACTTTTACAAAATACCTATTCATTGTTTAGGCACTGATGGACATAGTTAACAAGGTTAGTAAGTCTGTGCCATCCTTGAAAACCGGCAAGAAAACCTTCTCTGGACTGTCGGAGACCATGAAGGCCGGCAGTGCCATAACAACAGGAGAAGGGGGTACAGTCTCTAAAGCTGAGGAGCGACCTTTTGACAGCATGAACAACATTGTGGCTAACCTTCTCCTGAACATGACCAGGTAGAAATATGTAAACAGTAATATTCATTAATAGTTAAGGTATTGTAATTAATGTATGGTATATGCCGTTAGGTATTCTGCCCATATATGTTACTATTTTCTTTTGGTTGTCATCAATTAAAAACAGTCATCATGAAAAAAATATAATTTAATTAACCCTTTCACCATTGTAGACCATAATGGACTCATCCAGATCAATGCATGGTAGAGTCTACTAAAGTTACATAGGGGTGACAGGGTTAAAGCAAACACACATGATATAGCAAAATGACTGTCTGAACATAACAATAATAATAAATCATAATTGGAGGTTCTTATATACCGCTTTATCATAACCTAGTTCGTAGGTCGTCTCAAAGGGGTTCACAAATTATAATAACCCGAGAAGGTCACTATTCAATCAACCCTTAAATTATTTAGACGCGATGGCTCAAAATCCAGTGAAGGAAGGGATACAGTAATGGTGAATTTATTAAAACCTTTGTTAATATATTTTGCTTGCAGTTCCGCTAGGTTTGAAGGGTCGTTGAATGTTGATCTGAATGAGATTACAATGAACCTGGTCCCGTTTCCACGGTTACACTACCTCGTGTCAAGCCAATCACCGCTCTATGCAATAGCTGATGTGAAGCTGCCTCCAAGAAGGTAAATGCTTTATTTCTCCCACTTTAGCTCGCTTGGTCCGAAGGACCATGATGAGCTTATATTTTTGTATGGCTTACCGCAGCGTCCATCATCCGCCCATCAACTTTTCCTTTAAAACGCTACTTGTCCTTAATGCTCCAGTAGATTTTGACAAAATTTGGTCTGGAGCATCCTTTGGCCAAGATAACTCAATTTTGTATAAATGGTGAAATTGGACCCCCTGGGGGCAGAGGGGTGGATCCCGATAAGGGAAACGGAGGTAAACCTTTAAAATCCTTCTTCTACCCCAGGGAATAAGGGATTTCATCTCAAATTGTGTGGAGAATCCTTGGGCCAAGAGCTCAATTTTGTGTAAATAGTTGGGTTGGACCCCCTGGGGACGGAGGGGTGGGGCCCAATTTGGGAAATAGAGGTAAAACCTTTTTTTTTCCTTATTTGACCTGAAGCATCCTTGGGCAAAGAGGACTTAATTTTGTATAAACGGAGAATGTGGCCCCTCTGGGTGCAGAGAGGTTGGTACTAAAGGGGAATTTGAGGTTTAAATCTTTTGGAAAAGTCCTTCAGCATGTTAAGCACATTAGATGTGTTTCAATCATTGATCGACGTTGCTGGCTACCTTGAAATTAATATTATCTAGCTATAAGCCGTAATTAGTGCCGAAGGTGCACGCAAAATTGGTTGAAGGGTGTGGGTGCTGTTTGGGAAAGGTGGAGCACTTATAGCATTCAATAAGAGCTGACAGAAAGATGAAGTGCACTAATAATGGATATTATGGGGAATACTGTTATAGCACACTCTCATGGTTAAAATAGTCATATCTACTGGAAAAGTGAATCATTACTTCTACAACATTTGTCTTTCAGACTTGACCAGATGTTTTCGGATGCTTTCTCCAAAGACCATCAACTGTTACGTAGTGATCCGAAACGCAGCCTGTACCTGGCCTGTGCCTTAATGGTCAGGGGCAATGTGGAGATATCTGATGTCAGACGGAACATTGACAGGTATGACACAATAAAAACAGTTTGGCAAACGACTTGGTTAAGTTTTAACAAATAGTATGTACCCCCAAATAGTCCCTCATGAAGAAGAAGTCAGTCATTTTCCACACTGAGACACGTCCTTGAATTACCTTAGCTGTTAATGGGACATTAAACAAAATAAATCCAATCCATACTGCGATATACCCCTGCAAAACAGAATGTCAATTATTTCCTACACAAATATTATAAGCCTTTATGGAATTGGAAGTCATTCATTTTCTACACCAAGATATTTCCTTAGGAATTGAAAGTCAGTTATATTTCTTACACCAAATTACTCCAGGTTACCCATCCAGAACTGGAAGCCAGTCATTTACCATATTGAGATTTCCCCTCAGGGACAGGAAATTCAGTCATTTCCCAATCTGAAATACCACCTAGGATATAGGAATTCAGTCATTTCCAATGCTGAGATATCCCTGTTTTTACCTGTACAACAATGTGGCAAAACTATTTTTTTTATGTCACTTGACCTGGGATGTTTTGCCTTCTGATAGAGAGTGTATACACACTGTACCAATAGGTACACAGATTTTAATTTCGGGGTCTAGACAACTAAATTTTCGGGATGTTTTAGCACAGAGACTAAACACTCGTCATATAGAGTGTTAAATAGTCAAATGGATACGCTTTATTACAGCATATTGAGCAGCAACAAATGAGTGTCATATTTTTCTACGAATCATATTTTCACGATCACGTTATTAAACCGTGAAATCGCGGAAATATTTGGCCTTGTTGTAGTTGTTTATGTTTTCGATGGATTTAAGCTCCAGTCTGCACGTTTAGAATTCTTTAAATTTTGTAATTTTGTATTGCAGGTTGAAGCCGAACCTGCAGTTTATCCACTGGAACCAAGAAGGCTGGAAGACTGGTCTTTGTTCTGTGGCCCCAGTTGGTCAGCCCTACTCCCTCCTGACTCTCGCAAACAACACATGTGTTCATCACACATTCACTGACCTCAAGGACAGATTTGTCAAACTCTACAAACGCAAGGTCAGTAGGCATTGCAAGTGTGCACTGTAACTAGGGCTGCAACGATACATTAACCTGACGATACCATATGTATCACGATACAAATAGTAATAGTTGAAGCAAAGAGAAAAGATGTGTTGCCAATTTTTAATGGCAATATGACAACTGGAAATAAACTTGGTCCAAAATGGGCCTGACTTAAAAAATTCACACAATTCACGTTTTTCAGCGTGCATGCCGAGCCGAAGCTGTCACCTGCCATATTGGAACCGATATGAGAAAGCTAAATTCAGAAACGATAAAATCCAGACAATATCGTAGATGTATCATTACCTCCCAAAATATATTGTGTATCATACTGTGTTCAAAATATCGCGATTTGTCATCGCATGGTATATCATTGCAGCCCTAGCTGTAGCAATTGTTTTTTCACCAGTGTTTTAGATATCAGAATATATTTGAAAAATTACCATTCAGAACCATAAGGCCTAGCTTCATGACATTGGCTGAGCTTGCTGGAATGAAATACTATCATTAAATATTTGGATCAAGTCAAGTTTTAGGTCTGACATCTGGATAAAGCTGTTGCCATTCTCTCTCAGCTTTTTACATTTTCATTTTTTTCTTCAGAACCATAAGGCCTAGCTTCATGACATTGAATGAGCTTTGCTTGAATAATTAATTTTGATCATATGTTACTTTACCCTGTTTTTCAGGCTCATATACACCATTACACCCACATAGACGGTATGGAGTTATCCGACTTTTCTGACAGCCTGGAATGTCTGAACACTATTATCACTGATTACAGAGACCTAGAGAGACAGCTCAGTAACCCACCACCCACAGAACCAAGGCTGCAGGTCATGACCTGAATCCAAATACACCAAATTAAAGGTTTAATGTTAAAACTGGAACAAAGATTGTTCACCTGCCATCATTGGAACCCTTTGAGCGTACAGAAACCCAATTGAAGGGTCAAATGTCATGACGGGGACAAAATTTCAAAAATTGCTGCCATCAGCAAACTTTACATTTCATGTCAGGAAATGCCCTTGATCAAGGTTTCCAGGTCATGACAGTCGCAGACAAAGGTCAACCGACAGTGCCAGCCTGTCAGTAGAATGGAACAAGTAAAAGTGTGAATGTGGGGAAAAGTTTATAGAACTAATATTGACTGAATATTAGCCGAGAAAGGTCAACGTGTCATCAAGAGGTCATCCTCTGACCAACCAGAAAATGAACATTCCATATCTATAGTGTGAACCTAAAACTGGACATTATCCAAACTGGACACTTTTGGGAGCCAGATGGATGTGCATGCAATGTTAAGAAATATTTTAATGTGTGTAATTTCTACTTAATGATAATATTTTCTCAGCTCAAATGTATATTGAATTTCTTAGCTACTATTTATAGTTCACTGGACAATTTGAGGTTGGAAATAATTACGAAGATAAAACTCACATTATTTATCTTTCATGCCACATTATTTATTAATATGCTATTTTCGAAAAACTGTTCTTTTCAATAGTAATACTTCTTTGGAGACAAAATTCAATCAGCACCTTCTGGGACTCTAAAAAATTCTTGATAGTGATTTTCTCCCAGTATACCCAAAGCCAAAATTGTAGTGTCCCTTTCAGCGAACAGTTGCACCTGTTAGCCCTTTCACCCCTATGTAACTTTAGTAAACCTTACTATGCATTGACCTGGATGAGTCCATTATGGTGTACAGTAGTGAAAGGTTTAAAGAGCCGATATGGTCCTGGTCATATCTTTTATTCTATTTAAAAAACAGCACAATGGAAATATCATCCTGTAATATAAAAGAAATGTGGTAGTGTCTATTTATGAAAAATGAACAAACATTTTTTAGAATTTATACTATGGTTAAAGATACAGTAGACCTTGAAACTTTCCCCCCAACAAAACTTTCCCCCTACACCGGCAAAACCCTTATCCGCCCAGTGTTGATTTCACCCTTCACATCTAATTTCAATATTTTTACTATTATTCATTACAATGGTAGGTAATTCCGCGCTCATTGCCGAGGGGGAAAAAGGCTCAAGTTAAGCTGTGGAAAAATTATCTTGGTATACAGTATTCACTACGAATTAAAAATGTGTTGACTATAAATAATATGATCTGAAGTACTTTAAATAAAATTCAACTTTCATAATGAATACCCATTATGTCATATATCTTGTTATTTATTTTGATACTTGAGTATTTGCCCATATGTTTTAACTGTTAAAAGGTCATCAATAAGAATAACTGTTTTGATAATAAATTTATGATTATATACAACCACCTGGTTTAGTTTGTTATGTCCTTAAAAATCTACTTTTTTCTGTATATTCTGCAAATATCAATATGGTCTATTACTCTTGTGACCATATTAAAGATGGAAATTTATTAGATTAAAATGCACAGTGTATATACTGTGTCAACACATAAAGGACAAATCCAGAACTCAATATAAATATGGAATGACAACAACAGAGACTGAGGAGACACCAAAATGAAAGGAAAGATAATGGCAAAGACTTGGGAGACACCAAAATGAAAGGAAAGATAATGGCAAAGACTGAGGAGACGACAAGACGGGAGGGAAACTTATTACAGGGATTGAGAAGACACCAAAATCAAAAGGTAAGACAACAACAAAGGCTGAGGAGACCCGAAAAACTTGAGTAGAGAAAATAACTTACACTGAGGAGATACAAAAATAAAAGCAGTGACTAAGGAGGCATTACATCAAAAAGGAAGACAACAGCAGAGACTGAGGAGGGCCTAAATCAAAGGGAAGACAACAGCAGGGACTGAGGAGGGCCTAAATCAAAGGGAAAACAACAGCAGAGACTGAGGAGGCCCTAAATCAAAGGGAAAAAAACAGCAGAGACTGAGGAGGGCCTAAATCAAAGGGAAAACAACAGCAAAGACTGAGGAGGGCCTAAATCAAAGGAAAACAACAGCAGAGACTGAGGAGGGTCTAAATTAAAGGGAAGACAACATCAGAGAATGAGGAGGCACTAAACCAAAGGGAGGACAACAGCAGACTGAGGAGGCCCTAAGTCAAAGAGAAGACAACAGCAGAGAATGAGGAGGCCCTAAATCAAAAGGAAAACAACAGCAGAGACTGCGGTGGCCCTAAACCAAAGGGAAGACAACAGGAGAGACTGAGGAGGCCCTAAACCAAAGGGAAGTCAACAGCAGGGACTGAGTAGGCCCTAAATCAAAGGGAAGACAACAGCAGAGACTGAGGAGGCCCTTAACCAAAGGGAAGACAATAGCAGAGACTGAGGAGGCCCTAAATCAAAAGGAGGACAACAGCAAAGACTGAGTGAGGAGGCCCGAAATCAAAAGGGAAAACTACAGCAGACTTTGAAAGCCCTTTATCAAAAGGGAAGACAACAGCAGAGAGTATGGAGGCCCTTAAACCAACGGAAAACAACAGAAGAGACTGAGGAGGGCCTAAATCAAAGGGAAGACAACAGCAGAGACTAAGGAGGCCCTTAATCAAAAGGAGAAAATACAGCAGAGAGATATGAGGCCCTAAATCAAAAGGGAAAAATACAGCAGAGAGTGATGGGGCCCTAAATCAAAACGGAAAACTACAGCAGAGTGTGAGAAGGCCCTAAATCAAAAACAACAACAGAGAGTGAGGAGGCCCAAAATCAAAAGGGAAAACAACAGCAGAGATTGAGGAGACCCCAAAAGTAGAGGGAAGACAACGAGGAGACATAAAATAATTAAAGGAAAACAGAAAAAGGGATTGAGGAGAAACACCAAATATAAAGGGTAACTACAACAGAGGTTAAGGAGACACCAAAACTCAAAGAAAGATAGCAACAGGGATTGATCTCTATCACTTAAAAGTTGTCAGAGGATAGTGTTTGCATTGTAATTCATAGGAACACCAAACCAGGTACAGAAAAACATCTTTGCATGGCAGATTGCATTGATTCATGATAAAATGACCTATATTTCTATCTTTGACATCTATACTGCTAGGAATACCTTATGCTGCAGGGACGCATCTTGGTGTGGGTGAGTTTCATTTACTAGAATTAGGCAAGTGTAAACTTTATTTGTTATTTATTTATTTGATTTGTATTCGTCTTTAACAAAACTATATATACTATACGAACAAAGCTTGCATACAGATACGTAAAATAATTGATCATATATCATTACTTTTGACCCATATTTTAGGAACAACAAACTAGCACCGAGTTTGTTGGTACCTTCTGTATCATTGAATAGTTCTGAATAGACGAACTGACCGTATGGTACAGAAAAATGTATTATTTGCGTCATGATAAAGAAAATTTGAAATAGATGCTTCATTACTGCGTACCTATTCATGCAGTAACTGGTTCACCCATTGCCAGTATAATGTGACCGGGCGGAATGCTGTGTTTGGTGCCTTTGGCATGGCATTTGAGTGAGATAGCACTATATAATGTCGGCGTCAGATCCGCGCTATCACAAGGAGACAAGCACACCAAAATACACTGTCTCTTGCATCCACACACGCAAGCACGCATACACTACACACATGGAGGCACGTCCTTAAATTACCTTAACTGTTAATAGAACGTTAAACAAAATTAAACCAAACCAAACCTAGTCTTCATGTAGCAATTGTTTCCAAAACCCTACCAAAAACGTGTGGTGCTGAAAAGGTCATTCGAACACAAAATCGATAAATCTAAGACAAACAAGAGAAACTGTGAGCAAGCTCACAAAGATATTTCCCCTGCTTCATCGTACCTAGATATTCAAAGTCCGTTTGAATGGGGTATGAGACCCGATAATCACAAAGCCATTTCTTCATTCATATATAAACATGATACACTTTCATTGTGTCACATTACAAAACAAAAAACAAAACAAAACAAAAAGATATTTAAGGAGGAGATGCATTGACAAGGTCCATGGTAATATGTAATTCTTTAAAAAAAAATGTTTGTGGGGGGTATAAAATCAACAAGTGCCGGTGTGTAAACATGATTTCGACTCGAAATTGAAATTTCTAGGGCAATATATAAATAACGGGAAGATTTTCATGGAGACCCTTGAAAAAAGCACAAGGAGAATAGGACCAGGTATTTCGAAGGGTTTGCGTCTTCTGCTTCATCGACGACACCTTACGTGTATATTTAGGACAAATCCAAGTACGAAATCGGAAAATTGGACTGCCCGTGTACCTCGGAGTTTAGTATAACCCTTTCGGGACTCCCCGTTATTGTTAATGTTATGGTAACCAACGAGAGATTGGAATGTACTGAAACCATGTGCTTCGAACGCCCTTGTTAAGAGTTGTGAGTAACCCGCATTGGAATCTGAAAGATATCAAGGATATTACAAACACAAGGCGCATGTGAGCGATATATGTGCGTTTCTCTTTTCAAAAATAAAACTGTATATGTTGCTTTACACTAAGTACAGATAGTAAAATAAAAGAGAGAGATATGCGCAAGAAGAGGCATTAATGATTACGCTACAAGTAGAGAAAAACAGCGTTTTAAAGTTGCGACATAGACTGTGAAGTAGCGCATACACTGTACGTTGTTAACACTTTGTGAGAAGAAACACGTACACATATATTGCTTACGTAATACACACGTACGTTTGTCATATATGGAGGCAAAATACATAAACGGTAAAGGCGTCATCCTTTTTTGTGATACCTGTAGCAGTATCGACCCGTAACCCTAACGACAGTGATCTGTAGTCAGCATGTAATTTTTGCGAAAGCTAAAGTATTAATTTTGCCTCATTTTATTTTACTCTATGAGAGGAAACTTTAACGGCTAGGAAATTATTATGTGTTCGAGAGTTTTGAATAAATTCAACCCATGTTAAAGAAATATGGCAACGATTAGAGAAAACCTCTTTCTTGCATACGGGTCACATATACCTATTAAGATTTAACATACCTTTTTTTGTCTAAAATCGTTTTGTTTATTCTTTGCCAAAACAAACCAGTGATGTTTTTCTATTGTAGACATTTATACACAAAACGTACCAAAAAGGTAGCCTTAGTGTCTATAATGTATTAATTTAAATACATGATTAAGTCACTTGCTAGTGAGAAGAAAGTTGTTTGATGCTAATATGAAGGGAGGTTTGTTTCATGGAGAAAAATAATTAACCGAAATGTCGAAAAGGGAGAAGATGCTACCAACTTTTAAATTTTACGAAAGTGATTGAACTTAACAGATAAACGTCACGTTCAACCTTAAATTAGTTTGAAATTTAACAATGATATCACTATAGACGGAAAGTGTATAATATTGAAAGAAAACTACGGTAATTGATATATAACGCTCATACATATTTATCCTACTTAATTGGTTTTCATTATTTATTCTTTTAAATTACTAGTATAATAAGATATTCTTTTCGGGAAGATTCGTTGAAATGCTCCCCAATTTGATATATGAGTTCAGCAAGGAGGGTTATCGGAAATGTTCATAGCGATGGGAATAGGAGAAGCCGCTTTAGTCGCTGGTACATTTGTAAATGTTGACGTGTGATATAGTATTATATCTCATCTTTATAATGACGTGTCTAATTGAATTTTATTGACCACATGATGGGGAAATGAAAAATAATTTCTATTCTCCCATCATGTTAGAATTCCCCAGAGATAGTTCCCTTATTCGGAACCTCTCTAGACAAAATGAGCAAGACGCACCAAACCTGAGTTCCGAGTGACTGAAGCAGACGACAGTGCAAAAGGTTGACCAACAGTATGTCCTTATTCGGTAAAAAAAAACATATATAATGCACTTTTTTGTAAGGAAACATTACTCTTTGTTGTCCAGGGATTAATCATGTTTCTGAAGGGCGAAGTATTAAATTAAGCAAAGGAGAGAAGACCGTAATATTGATATTGCATGGAGTAAACTACCTTTGTAAAGTGCATTATTGACTGAAAACGCTTATTTTCAACGTGATAATTTTGCATGACCTCATCATTCCAAGTGTTATTAAGTTGTAAACTTTAAATAGTCAACTAACAAGGACAAAATCAGAACTCAAAGGCGACTACAAAAGAGAGCTACAGGAACCGACTTACATCAAGTAAAAGGAATGATATATATATATATCCTTACAAAGCCGGAGGTAGATCCAGGTACTCCGGAAGTTATACAAAAGAGTTTTCTATTTGTTGAGAGGAGGCACAGCGCTATTTTTGCTATAATAGCCTATTATAAGAGTCGCTGACCTGCTACATCGCTTACAAGGCCAAAGTTCTTCTGAGCAAGTGTTTAAAAGGATTGCA